CTGGTGGGGCTCCCTTGCCCCTGTCAGCTCCCAGAGCTGCTCTCTGCCTTCCCCTTCCCCCCACCCTCCCCTTCTGACTTACCAGCTGGAGGCAGCTTTCCACGCTGCCAGCTCTGCTCCATGCTGTGTTGCATCTGCACACAGCACGAGTATTTAACAGACAACAATTATGCAGGTTTGCTTTTTTTTGGAGTGATGGTGCTATATGAAGGGCTAATACACATTTACTTTTCACGAATAGTGACATATGGTGACAAGTAAGTTTTTTTTTTTTTTTTTTTTCCCTCCTTTTGTTGCATTCAGTTATCGTCAACTATGATAGAGCTGATGGCAAAAAATGGGAGCGCAGTTTTCCTATTTAATAGGAACAGGAATCACTTTCTGAATTTCTGTACAATGGAACAAAGTATAAACCTTGATTTCAGGCTTCCTGAAGCTTGGGGGCTTATTACAATCTTCTCCAGTTGTAAGCACTGGTTTGTATTTTTGCAGTAGGTTTACTGTTTCTTACTTCAGCACTGGCTTTGCATTTTAGGGAAGTGGATATTTCCAAAATTCTGTCAGAGGTGACCTTTATTTTTAAGGGACATAGCCATGTTTGAAGCACTTAACCATTATTGTTACAGATAACATCCAGGGTTATAATAAGTATAAAATTAAAGAGTTGTTTTTTTCCCCTTTGTGCATTTGACAAACTGCACTTTGTATGGAATTGGTATCCTCCACCCCATTCCAGATCAGTTAGGTCACTTTCCTTGTTTGGTTTATATGAGACCCATATAACCAGGCAGAGACAAAGTTTAAAATAGGAGTTAAAAAAATGTGAATACACCAATTGATAGACAGCCTGAGGTTCCGGTATAATACCTGAAACTAATCTGTATTGCAGTAATCAACTCTCCAGTTTTACTTAGTATTAAAATCCTGTTTTATATAAATAAGAATAGAAGTGATATTTTCTGAACTCCTATACCTGATATGCATTTAGGAAAAGTATTTTGTAACGTAAACTTTTCATACATAGATAAATCCTTTTAAGTGCTTTGGCATAAGCATGCAACTTTCTACACACAGGATGCATCTTTATGTGTAATTAATGTGACACAATAAACTCTGGAGCAATTCATGTCAGAGTAAACTGCTCCTGGGCGCAGCATCTACATATGTGCCTGGAATAGCAGCAATATGAGCTGGGGTGGAGCAGGCCCCTAGCTGGCTGGGCTGCTGGGGTGCAATTTATGCCCCCTGGTCACCACCTACGTGTGCGTTTTATCTGAGTCAAAACCCAGGAGGGCATAGCTCTTTACACAGCCTGTTCTTGGATTGAATGGTAATTAATTTGAAGGATTGTCCCAGGAAAAAAGTGTTAGCTCAGATATTTCATAGGTACTTAAAGTGGGATAATTAGTTCATGTGTCTGTAGGATCTCAGGCATTTATCCTAGGAGAAATGCGATACCTGTTTTAACTAATGTATAGCTAGATTATACCTGCTTGTTTCTGTAGCCTGGGTCTAAATGAAAACACAGCTAAGACGCCAGTGAACCTCTGACGTGGAACTCTGTCCAACTTGCAGATATCCATGAAGTAAAGGGTGAACATTGCCACTTGTGCTTTGAGTGGGTAGGAGCATACAGTTTTTTCTAAGATTATGGAAACAGGTTGTAGTAATCGGAACAGGAAAACAAGAATCTGCAATCTCAAGTCTGTTCTTCATTTTCCTTCTGGTTTGCTGTATGATTGTGAACAAATGACTTGGTCTTAGTTTGCCTATCTTTAAAATTGGAGAGCTAAAACTTTAACTCATAGGCATGTTGAATTTTGTTTAATGTTCATAAAGCATTTTGAAATCCGTTGTTCAGTTATATTATTTAAGTCTTTCTTCTGATGTGTAATTTGGAATTTTTTTTTTTACTCTGTTCTCAGGATTCATACAGGAAACAAGTAGTAATTGATGGAGAAACCTGTCTCTTGGATATTCTTGACACAGCAGGTCAAGAAGAGTACAGTGCAATGAGGGACCAATACATGAGAACAGGGGAGGGTTTTCTATGTGTATTTGCCATAAATAATACAAAATCATTTGAAGATATTCATCATTATAGGTAAGTCTAATAAAATAAATTACTTTAGTAATTCTCCAAAGAGGGAATGATTTGCTTGCTTCTGCTTACAACCAAAGATAATTTATTTCTTACAGTTATGGAATTGTAACATAATCATATTTCCAAGCTAGCAGTGAGCAGTTACTTTTGAAGTCAATAAAACATTAAAAATATATCTTTTTATTTATTTTTTTATTATTTTTTTTTGGTCACCTAGCCAGAGTGATTATGCAACGGGCTGCCCATTCTTGGAGCGTACTCACAGTTTTGGGTTGATGGAAGAAGGCTGGTTGAAGCTACCTGAAAATTCCTCTAGTAGTTTGTTTTTGAAATATAAAACAGATGTAGAGATATGGGCTTCAGAATTAGCATCCTACTGAGATTAATAGAAATCAAGTATGGATCAAATTCTGCCTTCCTCATGGCTGTAGAGTAGTACTTCCATGGCTGTAGAATACAGTTAAGTAAAGTAATTCTGATCTTTGTCTCTGTGAAATGTGCCTGTGAAAGCAGCGGATGACACAAACACTTACGAACATCCCAATTCTGTGGGGGCAACTTTTCTGCTATTTATGGCTGGAGCTCTTCTCTTTTAGTAGTCTGAAGTAGGCAACCAAATTCTATTACGACTTGATAGATATTATATTAAGACTTAATATCACTCAATCTTTCCTCCTCAGTGTCTGTTTTTTATATATGAAAAAGTTCTTGCCTGTTCCATAAATAACAGAAATATATTTTTAAAAAAAAAGTAGAAAAAAAATCCATGTGACTTTTTAACAAAAATGTGCCTATCTCAGTAGGACTCTGCAAATTGGGGAAACTACCTACATTTACAATATTATTTGCCATGTATAAACCAAGTCATAGTTGGTTAGCCTTCATCTAACCAACTATGGGGCCGCACCCAGAGGGTGGTAGTGGATGGGTCCTTCTCGGCCTGGAAGGACGTGGGCAGTGGGGTTCTGCAGGGCTCGGTCCTCGGGCCCGCGCTGTTCAACATCTTCATCAGTGATTTCGACGAGGGGGTAAAAAGCACCCTGTTCAAATTTGCTGATGACATTAAGATGTGGGGGGACATGGGCACACTAGAAGGAAGCAACAGGCCACAATCTGACATAGACAGGTGACAAGGGTGGGCGGATGAGAATAGGATGGGTTTCAACACAGACAAGTGCAAGGTGATGCACCTGGGGAGGAACAACCGGTACCATACCTACAGGTTGGGGAACTTCCCTGTTGTCAGCACGGAGGCGGAAAAGGATCTTGGAGTCGTCATTGACTCCAAGATGAACATGGGTCGGCAGTGTGGGGAGGCAGTTAGGAAGGCCAACCGTACCTTGTCATGCATCCACAGATGCATTTCAAGCAGGTCAAAAGAGGTGAT